CTTTCTGGGCAGTGAATATTGAAACACAGGACAAAAATGACTTTTCTTTTTCTTTGGGTTGGGGCAAAATTATCAAGATGAGTTTTAACCATACCTCTGCCTGAACGGAAGAGATAATCGAGCTAACCTTCCTCCCGCCATCTCTCTCTCCTCCTCTGGCATAAGCTTTGCACACACCTTCTCCCCAGTCTCCATCTCTGGCTCACTCATTTGACGACCACTGTCTTCTTTGCTCAGTTACTTATGCCCTAGATTTATTTCCCCAAACTCAAATGAAATTTGCTTTCAGATCTCACATGAACATTTTTTTCTCAAATCAAATGCTCAATTTACTTACAATAAATGTGCATTGCTTTGCATGTTATAATTTGTAAGTAATACTAGCTCTTAGAGAGTATTTTCAGATGCTCCCAAAGGAACCAATTTCTGTCCCTCTTACTCTCTCTTCTTTGTCCTTCCCTCCATCTTTTCCTTCTTGTCTCTCAGTCTCATTTCTACATAGCAAGGCCAAGTCTGGTTTAATCAATACAGTTCAGAGACTAAGGGAGCCAGAGACCAACACCAACCTCCAATGTCCCATGGATAACAACATGGTTACAAAAATAAAAAAGATGAGAAAATGTTGTTTCACAAAATGATAAATTATTATTAAAGACATAGTGCCATGTGCAAACTTGAAGTAAAATCTTTTGTCTCTTCATTATAGGGTAAGATTCACATAGACCAGCTCCTTGAATCTTTGTGTAATTGGAGTTTATTAACTGTTGTAGCCTGTGTGACCAATTAACACAGTGATTGTACAATTCATGTGAATTCTTATTGAGTCATACCCATCCCATCTTCCAAAATGATGCTTTTCAGAAAGAAATAACAAGCATCTAATATATTTGTTTTCTTGTGAATAAGAACACCTGCTCGATGGGGAGAGGATTATAAAACAGAATTGCAGGCAAGGTGTAGACCTTAGCTGTCCTAGTACCATCATGAATGATAACCGTGTTAGCTTTCTTAATCCGTTCTTTCTCCCTCCCCCCATCATCCTAATACAGTTAGATCTGAAGGTCTGGTCAAATCCATATATTTTCAAGATAATTCCAAAACTTTTAAACAACTTATTAGCTTGTTTTTAAAAGCACATCATTTAATCTTAGATTATTGTTTCTATTAATCCCCAGAGGAAAGAAATACATGATGTTAAAATAACAAATAGCATGTATTAATTTTATAGTATGGTCAGTAGCTGTTGACAAACTAAAGACCTGTGTATTTTTTTTTCAGTTTCTTTATTAAAAACTTCTTTCGTCTATCCTTATGAAACTTTTACTATACAGCAAACATCCAAAATATTTCTTTTTTAATTTTTTTTCACATATTTCCTAATCATCTATCTCTTCTTTCTTCTGGGAGAACTTTCCATTATTTACCTTCTAAAGTCTTCTTGATTTTTCTTTTTTAATGTTTGTTATAATTTTCAAAAGTTTGTTCTCTGTTCCTATTTTCTTAACTACAGGCCTGATTTCCAGGTTCTAATAATATGACTTCTTCTTCTACCTTTCAATGAAGCCTCCGTTGTTGAAGACTGGACAAGAGCTTCCCACTCTTCAGCCTTACCTGCTCCAGTGGCACAATGTGTCTCATTCCCTTTAGAACTTCCGAGGCGGGAATTTGCACTTGACTTTCCTTCTCTCCACTCATTAATTTAGACATCTTTCATTTAATTTCACTTTTAAACATCCACTTGCACCAAAGATAAAGATTTAGTTTCTTTTTTAAAATTTATTTATTTATTCTCATTTGTTATACATGACAGCAGAACACTTTTCAATTCATAGTACACATACAGAGCACGGTTTTGCATATCTCTTTTTGTACACAAAGTAGTGTCACATCATTTGTGTCTTCATACATGCACTTGGGATAATGATGGGCATCTTATTCCACCATCTTTCCTACTCCTATGCCCTCTCCCTTCCCCTCCCTCCCCTTTGCCCTATCTGAAGTTCCTCCATTCCTCCCATGCCACCCCCATTCCCCATTATGGATCAGCATCCACATATCAGAGAAAACATTTGGCCTTTGGTTTTGGGGGATTGGCTTACTTCACTTTGCATTATATTCTCCAACTCCATCCATTTACCTGCAAATACCATGATTTTATTCTCTTTTATTGCTGAGTAATATTCCTCTGTGTATATATACCACATTTTCTTTATCCATTCATCTATTGAAGGGCATCTAGGTTGGTTCCACAATTTAGCTATTGTGAAATGTGTTTCTATAAACATTGATGTGACTGTGTCCCTGTAGTATGCTGTTTTTAAGTCCTTTGGGCATAAACCAAGGAGTGGGATAGCTGGGTCAAATATTGTAGTTCCATTTCAAGTTTTCCAAGGAATCTCCATATTGCTTTCCATATTGGCTGCACCATTTTGCAGTCCCACCCGCAATGTATGAGTGTGCCTTTTTGTCCACATCCTCACCAACACTTATAGTTGTTTGTATTCTTAATAGCTGACTGGAGTGAGAGAAATCTTAGAGTAGTTTTGATTTGCATTTCTCTAATTACTAGAGATGTTGAATATTTTTTCTTATATTTGTTGATTGATTATATATCATAATCTGAGAAATGTCTGTTTGGCTCCTTGGCCCTTTTGATTGGGTTATTTATTTATTGGTGTTAAGTTTTTTGAGTTCTTTATATATCTTAGAGATTAGTGCTCTATCTGATGTGTGTGTGGTAAAAAAAATTTGCTCCCATTCTGTAGGCTCTCTCTTCACCTCACTGATTGTTTATTTTGCTGATAAGAAGTTTTTCTGTTTCTTGTCCAGTTTGATTTGTTGATGCAATTTCAGGAAAGAGAAAAAAATCACCCTTATTCTGTCATCTAATATGGAGAAGCTTTAGTGAAGTATTAATAAAAGAAACTTAGAGCAGTACAAAAAATGAGTACATATATTTTTCAAAGAAGTTTCAAAGAAAAGAAAAATCACTTAAAAAAGGAAAGAAACAACTGTATGTTCACTAAATGAATTCACTCAAAAAATGAGAGAAAAGAGGAAAAGGTAGTGGAAATCGTACATATATATGCATATGTACATTCACATATATATATATGTACATACATATATATATGACTTTTTTTCTAATTGAAGGACAATAATCTATATTTAAGTATCTCTCAAGCATCTACAAATATAAGAGAATAAATTTATATATGGTGTCATGTCACCATAAAATTTTTTAAATTTAAGTAATAAAGATCCTTAAAACTTTCACAGAGTAGAAAATATGTCATATCATAAGGAAATAAATGGACATGACTCAGATACTTTTCCACAGCCTGAGTTAGAAAAAAATAATTCTAAATTATATGTTTCAATATAGAGTTAAATTATCAATCTCAAATTAACCAAAACTTAAATTATCAATCAGGTGTTGATTTAGAATAAATAATACTGAAAAATTTTAAGCCAAATTTTACCCCTCCCATTGTTAGGTATGTTTTGGAAACACTGGAAAGCAAGCTGGCAGAGGAATGCATGGAGTCCACACAATGTCCACTGTTGGGCTCCTTTACAATCTAAGTGCTGCCTGGACTTGCTGCTCACACTTTCTGTTAGTGTCCCCCAGTCTACCTCTTTGTCTGACATCCACACCACTTGACTAAAACTGATCACGTCCAGATCAACAGAGCTCTCATCAAATCCAGTGAACAACACTCAGACCTTGCCTAGCTCAACCTCTCAAGATCATCTCTCCTTTTAACTCCATTTTCATTAGGTTCCCCAAAAACATTCTACCCAATGTTCTTTCTACCTTATGAACTGATCTTCTCCAGCTCCTGAGCTGGTTCCTCCATCTTCTGCTGACCTTTGTATTTTATCTTCCCCTGCCCTCTGGCTAAAAGATGATTCTTGGCTTCTATGTCTTTCCTAACTACACTCACTCACGAGGGATCCCATTTATTCCCTTAGTTTTATACACTGTCTCCACACTGATGACATATCAGCTTTTGCATTCAATTCAACCTATCAGTTGTGTGTCGGACTTTTTGGACCATCAATTGCAAACTCATCATATCCACCTGGGCACTTAATACACATCAAAACAGAACTCTTCCTGATTCCAACTCTGGGTATGTCCACCTACCCAAACTCCATAATTCCACCTCACCTACTTTAGTCTTCCCCATTGAAGACAGCTTTAATTTCTGTTAGCCCTAAAACATATAAAGTCCACTTAGCAAAAGATCGATTACACACTGGAGAAAAGAAGTACTTAGCAAAACATGCGAAAGTCACATCTTTTGTACATAATATAAAAAGATTTCCAAAAAATTAATAGGAAAGAGACAAAATATGATAGAAAAGTAGCAGGCACACGAGATAATAATATATAGAAGAAGGACACTAAATGCCCAGTAAATGTGTTGTCTCACTATTTTTCAGGGAGTATATGTTAATATAAAATTATACATCAATTTACTCTCAGCTAGGCATAAATCTATAAGATAAAATAATTATCCAGTACTAATGAAAAGGAGGACAATGAGTTGTACATATTGCTAGTTAGATGATTTGTTTTAGCATTTTTAAAAAACATTTTTAAAATAATCCTTTATTAATTAAAAAAATTATCCTTTGGCTTAAAAATCTTATTTCAGAGATTTTGTCTCAAAAATAAAAAGAGCATTAATTGTGAGATTTGAAAGCAGATATTAATTCAGCATTATATAGTCTAAAGCAACCTGAATGAAAGAAAAAAATAAGCAATATAATTATATATAACTATACTACTACAAATAAAGAAGCATGATAATATAGATTGGATAATTAAAAAAAATAGTATGATATTTGATTACAAATATTTTTTAGATAATTCAATTCTTCTTGCATCAGTATCAAACTTACACAGGATATTACTCTATTTGGTTGGGCTTCATTTGAAGTGTTTGACATGATGAACGAAATAACTTCAATGAAAAATGGGACAAAAACGATTCAAAATAACAACTTATAATTTAATCTACAAATTTGCAACACAATGCCAAATATGTGAAACTCATTATTCATTGAATGGATGGATCAATAAATCAACCATCATTTCTTGGATTTCCCAGCTTGCTGGTAAACTCTGAGACAAGAAGATAGGACAAAGTCCATAAATATCAGTGTCTTACAAGTTACAAACTTCAACATCTTCTCAAATTGTTCATGTACCATAAGAATTGAGTGGAGACCGTTCATTAGGATTTTCCATTAGATTCTTTTTGGAGAAAGCCCTTACTGGGAATATTTTTAAAAGCAATAGAAGTGAATGAAGCAAAGCCAAGCCAGGAGAGAAATTATTTGCTACAAGCATCATTTGTACAATAAAAACAAAATTCATGTCTTGTTGAGTCAGAAGTGTAAATTCAATTTCAGGTGTGGTTAAACTGACTTCCGTTTTCTGAATTTCTCCTGTGTGGCCTTCAGCTAAATTCTTAGGCTATCTTATCTCATGGCCTCCTAATAGCTACGATTTCTACTCATAATTTAAATTCACATATTTTATGAAAAACAAAGTCATAGTTCACATATGTGGTGATGGTCATTTTTTATTTGACAATTTTTGTAATGCTGCTGTTGGCTAAAGTCAAGAAGAATATTTCTGTGCTGCAAAAATAAATCTGACTCATCTTCCTTCTTACTAGGTTGTCTGAAATGAGATTTTAGGAAGAAAACATGAAATAGTGCTTATAATAGCTCCTTTCCTTAAATCTCATAAAACGATGAAATAGGAAGAAGAAAGAGAAATAATTTTTAAGGAATGACTTTGGAGTAGTGATAGTAGAAGTTACAAATCCAAGAATTCATAAAGAAATACATTGATTCATCCATACCCAGAACACACTAAAGGCATTTATGATTAGGACAGAAAAGCCTAAGTCCAAGTTTCCATGATTGGTGCCATGAGAGAAGGATTGAGTTTCATCAGCTCATGTTTTCCTGAGTTCCTGAATGAAGCTCTGATTCCTTGGAGATTTGAGGTTAAGTTTTGATGCTCTCCGAATTACCTTCATTAGGAGGTATTCCTGATTCCATAGAACTGGGAAGTGAAGAAATTTCCTGCAAAACAAAACATTTGTCTCTAAGAATAGGATCACCATCTCCTCCTCCCATCTCTTCCTGTTACCATTAAACCATCACTAATAATATTCATCCAACTTATTACTACTTGAATAAAGGTGATGTGCACAGTCTTCAGAACAAACATCAGAAGAAAATGAAAAAATATATATATATATTTTTATTTTAAAGTCAGGATACCTAAAATCTAGGGAAAATATGTGATTTTTTCCTACAAAAATCATATAGCTAGAAAGTCACAAGTTAAAATGAAATAATTAAAATTAATTCCAGGTGCATAAAAAAGCATCCTCTCATGTATTAAATACGTAGTTTCCTTTTGCATTTTCACATTTGAGTTCTTTTCTGTATTTCATTCCATCTCTAACATTGATGCAATGTCTAACTCCAGGAACCCCAAGAAACATTGCCACATCAAAGTTTCTTTCCAATTCTTCCAGAAATAACTTCAACCCCAGATAGCAATCTGCAGACCAGGCAATTTATTCCTCATTTAAACAAACCCACCTCTCTTGAATCACAGCAGTTTCCTTTGCACCACATGGCTGAGAGGGAGATAGTTATGCACAATTCCAGCAAAGTGAAGATGAGCATTAGAGACACCAAGCCCTAGGGGAGATGGTATCTCACATCAAACACAATGGAAACATCCTCAGGAAAAATCTGTCAGCAGGAAACCAGACCACAGAGTCTCCCTCCCACAAAATGCAACAAAATTAATCCCAAATTAGATTTAAGACACAAACTCTGTAGAAGGGCTGCACTCTTAATTCAGCAGCAAGGGAACATTTTCCCTGGAGAGAGAAAGGTGTACGATTTGTACATAAATTCAAGTGAACTAGTCATGGGAGAGGGATCACAGAGGCAAAATTCTAACACTATTGCTAACATTGCTCAGTTAGAAAAGAACTAAACTAAGGAAATGAGTAGGTAATTTAAGAAAATGGAGAAAAGTGATCCCTTCTCTGTTTTATCAATAGCACCTCATAGCTGTTTGGGCATTTACGTTATCCTTAGAAACTAAAGCAAAAAGCTGGTATAAACACAAAGTAAACACTGTTGGTTTACTAGTGATCTTTCTATATCACTGAGGCACTTAGAAGAAATACAATTACAAACTTTTCTGGAGGGAAAATGCCACTAAATCCACACAAAAAAAGTCAAACTCAGGTAAATATAAACTTAGATAATTAAAAATTTAATAAAGAAAAGGCAGACTCAGATTTCCATGATGATGCCAGAAAACAGGAGGATCAGGGATGGATAAATAATAATTTGGCAATCACTGGGCTGCACTCAACACACTTGAAGGACAATATTAATTTCTAAGTTGACTTCAAAGAGGTATAATACCTAAAACACAGACCAAAAAATCATGTGACAGCCTATTAAAGAGCTTCTTTTTCAAAAGATCATAACTTGGAAACTCAGAAGTGAAGTCAATCAAAACTTTTCAGACTTCAGAGAAAGTTGTATGTCTCTCAAGTTTGCTTTATTAAGCAAAGATACATGAGATAAAGTTTTTTTTAAAAAAAAATAGCATAATAGAATTAATTGTAATGTCAATAAGAATATAACATGATGTGCTAAGTATTGCCTTCATTGCTTTTCAAGTATCATTTCATTCTTACACTAACCCTATGGTTACTATTATTTTCCTCATTTTAAGAGTGAGAAAATTAAAATACCAACCTTATTTAGTTTTCCCTTCATTACAGCACTAATAGGCAGCAAAGACAAATTTAAATCCAGGTAGCATAACATATGACATATTGTTTTCTGTACATTTTGAAATGTTTAAATTATTTTCTATGATTAGACATAGTTTTAATTGCCTACATTTGATGAGGAACCCAGGTAATTGCATAAATCTGGAGACCGGGAAGACGGACAACTCCTGAAGGCCTGGTTATTTAGTACTAGATGTATTAAGAGAAAAACGATCCCAACGAAGGCAATTGTAGCACTGGCGATGTTCATTCCAAAACTGTTTTGCATCTAAGAAAGAAAAAGAATTTTCCATTAATATATGCGGCCCTCTTTTATCCCCCGGCAATAAATCATTTCTACAAATATGGACTGATTGACACCCAACAATATTCTAGATGCAGGACAGACATGGATGAACAAAACCCCCCACCACCCATGGAGCTTCTGTGCTAGGAATAAAGATAAAGGAAACAATAAACCTACTAATAGGTAATATATACAGTATTTTGAAGCAATTAAGTACTTTGGGTTAATAAAATGATGTAGGGAGAATCTGAAAATCCAAAAAAAAGGAGTGGAGGTTTGTGATATTAAATGGGAATAAATGACATGTGGGGAGAGGACCAAAGAACTTATGTTACTCCAGATGTCTGAGAAGATGCATAGGGAGATGTCCGCACAGTCAGAAACACTCGTTCAAAGCCCCAAGGCCACGGTGCTCCAGAGAAGCAAGGTGACCAAGGCCGTTGGAGGCAAACAGAGAAGATTAGGAAACCAAGACAGAAAATAATGGAGAGCCACATCACATAGAGGTGGATTCAGGAGGAAGATGCAGAATTGGGTTTTGGACCTTTTTGATATCTAAGTGGAAGAAGGCAGATATGCCAAACTGATGCTCAGGAGAAAAATCTAGTATGGAAATATTTGCCTTGGGGTTGTGGGGTATAGAGATGTTATTTGAAGTCATGAGAAAGGATGAGATCACCAGAGGACAGAGTGTAGGTTGAGAAGAGCAGGTGGCAAGGAATCGCACACTGAGGACCCTAACACCCAAAGATCAGGCACAAGAAAAGGAACCAGGAAAGGAGATGAGAAGGTGAACCCAGAAGACAGGAGGAAACCAGCCAGTCAAGGTGGAGGAGAGGCCAAGGGAAGAAATTCCTGGAGGAAGAATGAGTGGCCAGCTGTGCTGACCATTGCTCATCATTTAGTCAGATGAGGACTGAGGATTGCCTGTTTTTTAGCAATGTGGAGGTTACCAGTGATCTTTTAAAAAGAGCAGTTACAGAGGTATGGTAGGGAAGAAAGTAGTCTTACTAAAGTAGGTTTGGGTCAAGCTGTGTGTGTTTGTATGTGTATGTGTGTATATTTACTTAAAAAATATATATATACATATGTATATATATATACACATATGTATATGTATATTTACACACACACATATATACATTTTTAAGTAACTAGATGCTCATATACTGATTTAGAAAGATCTGGTAGAGAGCCATAAACAGGAGTGATAAATTCCTGTGGGGAAAAATGAAAGGAATATAACACTCAGGTAGAGGAATCAGCTTTAAAGGAAATCACAGAGAGTTCACCTATGCCAAGAGGCTAGAATAAGAAAAATATCAAAGCAGATCTACTCCACAGAGTAGGTGTTGTAGTGGGGTCTGAAAGCTCTCTTTGGATGGCTTCTGTTTTCTCAGAATCTCAGAACAGAGAGCAAGGACATCAACAGAGAGTGGAGTTGTGAGAAAAGGGACTGGTGTTTGAAGATGAATATTGTTATGGCTTGAATGTGAGGTGACCCCCAAAAGTTCATGTGTGAGACAATGCAAGAAGGCTTAGAGGTGAACTGATGGGGTTATGACAGCCTTAACCCAATCAGTGAATTAATCCCCTCATAGGGATTAACTGGGTTATAAGTGAAGGCTGATGGAGTGTGGATGGAGGAGGTGGGTCATTGGGGGAGTGCCTTTGGAGTATATATTTTATATCTGGTGAGTGGAGTGTCTCTCTCTCTCTCTCTCTCCTTCCTAATAATATCCTGAGCTACTCTCCTCCACCACACTCTTCTGCCATGATGTTCTGCCTTACCTCTAGCCCTGAGGAATGGAGCCAGCTATCTTTGGACTGAGACCTCTGAAACTGTGAACCCCCAAATAAGTCTTTTCCTCCTCTAATTGTTTTTGTCAGGTCTTTTGGTCACAGCAGCAAAAAGGCTGCCTAAAACAAATATAACAGTAAAATAGTCATCGAGGGAGGAGGAAAAGTGAATGAATGGAATAGGAATGTGGAATATAAGTGGCTGGGTGACTCAGCGAGAACACGTCATAGAGAGCATCATTTAATCAGTGACTAAAGGAATGGAATTTCTCACTCTCAGTTTCAGGAAATCCTATCCTCAAAATAATTAAAATTGGTTAAACCAAACTCACAAAAATCAAGAAGCATTTTCATGAAATATTTTGTAACCATCCCAGATAGACATGTCCACAATTTATATGACTTTCTGAAACCCTCTATCTGAATGCTCTAAGAACAGAACATTAATTTTCTGGTGCATTAAATGACTCAGTGTGATTCGCCAACCTCTATCTTTCCATTGTTTGTAGATCATTTATTTTCAGTCCTGTATTCATAGAGAAAGAAGAACTGCCACTTACCAGCATTCTTGTGGATTTTCTCCCTGCTACAACAGTCAAGGATCCTGAACTAATAAACTGAAAATGGGAAGTAAAGGAGATAGAGAATATTAAGTCTCAACCATGTGCTTCTCGGCCCTCTCTGAATTAGTGGACGCCTAGCGTTAGTTACACAAACCTCATTTCTAAACGCATATGCTAGAACCAAAACTATACTTGATGTTGCTCATTATTTTATACAACTAAAATTTTAAAGTAGTTTGTATTTTAAGCAAGCTTATCCTCTTTTCATTTTGTTTTATGTCTGGCTTTGAACAAGTTTTTGTGATTATAGACACTTTAAAAACATATATACATTTAGTTAATTCAATAGAATTATAGTTATGTTTATATGAAGTATATGAAATTATATATGCATGCATTTAGAATATGATTTCTCATATTTCTACTCAGGCTGCAGATAAGTGTCTGAATTATTGGACTAGATATTCCAAGAGATATTTTATAAATCTAAATGTCTTTATCTATGTACCCTATAGTTTTTAAATCTTTAATAATAATCCTATTTCTGTGATACTAATTTCGATACACTGAATTCTCACAATAGTTATGATTTTCCTAACTTTTATTGTTTTTAACTCCTCAATCTCACCACCCTTCACCAAATCATTCCTATGGATTGCGAGAAAAGTTGCCGAAAACATGAAGAGAAATCTTGCTACATAAAAATTCAGCTATTGGATTCTGACTGAATGTGCAGGAAACATCTATGGATTCTGCTTCAGTTAAAGAAGCAGAAGTTATCACAGGACCCTCCTCAGCCCCTCTGTAAGAGCATATGCTCTGTGTCCCCATCCCTGCTCTCTCTTATACTTGTCCTGTCACCTTGATCAAATCCCTGCCAAATCACTCCCCACCTGTTTCTTCTTCTGCAAAATGGAGATATGTGCATCCCTGTTGTTGAGATCACCTACCTGATAGCAGTGTGGAGATAAAATAAAATGATACATAAAAAGGACTTAAGTATTTGCCCAGCACACAGAAAACATCCAAATTGTCAATGATATCTAAAGTTTTTATATACATTTTTGCATTTAATTCCAGAGATCCAGAGAGGGTCCTCATGCTATTTTTACCATCCTGGTGAGGAAACTGAAGGGCAAGAGCTCATGTCTTTTCTGATATCACACTGTTCATCAGGATGAGCCAGAGAGAGATGAGCAAATAGAAAGGATCATGTGGTCAGTACATGACAGGGCATGGACACATTGGGGTGAGGACCAGGCTGTGGCTATAGGTAAGAGCAGGCACAGAGGGCACATCATAGACCTTAGACTGTGCTCTGCAGTGGTATGGACCAGAGAGAAGCTTCCAGCAATTGTCAGTTTTGAGTCTTAGTGTTGATGATGTTAAAATGAGGGGGAAAAAAAAAAACACTATCCTCACTGAAACACTGCAATCAGTATTCTCTTTTCTACAGTACAGTATGGAAATCCACCATTTAGGTAGTCAGGATTTATTATGCAAAATATATTTAGAAAAATTCAGAGCTTAACTAGCATCAAAATAATATTATCTAAAAATTTCTGGAATGCTAAACCCAAATTACATGTTTTGGACTGTACCCAGAAACAGTATATAATATTTTCTCAGAATATGAACTCTGATTTTGATCAAGAAATAGCCAGATTAAGAGCAATCTTCTTTTTCTGTGGTTGTTGTTGTTTTTAGCAATTTCATTTTAAAGGAGAGCTAAAGTTTGGAGATTTGGGGAGAAAGAAAAGGAATGAAATATTCATTTTTAGAAGTTTTTTCCCTTCATTTGCCAATAACTGTCCTATTCACAACTTTCAATTACATATCTCCATCTTACATTTTATAATAGCTGCTTTATTTTTTAAGTTCAGTTCAGAACTGGACATAGGTAACTTGTCAAAGATCTAGCACTAGGGATAAACAAGCAAATAATAATGATATTAGTAATAGTAAGTAGTAGCAATGGCTGATTAAGAGTTTCTATTAGCCACTTTAAAAAATGAATCTCAGGCAAACAATAATAAAATAACAAAGATGAACGAGTAAATCCAAAAGATCACCTAGGCCCCCATCTGTGGATTCTGACTGAACATGTAGGAACCATCTATGGATGGGGTTTTTGTTTGTTTGTTTGTTTGTTTGTTTTTCTGAATACATTTTGACCCAGATAAGGAAAATGGCTCTTCTGGTTTTCCAACAGTGATCCACAGAAAAATTTCTCATCTCCCAAGCCTGGACTCCCAGCTGAACCACAGGGCAATATTCATTCACCAGTACTCATTTTTCATTGGATTCTGTTAGTATCCATAAATTTAACCTCTAGATACTAAGTTCCTGTTTGGGACTTAAATGTGCTTAGCAAATATGATTTCTTGAATCAGAAAGAAAGGGACTTCTTTTCACCTTGCTTATGTCAAAAACTATAATTTAAAGCCACAGTATGTAGCCTTCAAATGACCTACAAACAACACTTTCATAACCAAACATAACCAGCGTCTTAATTCAAAATATAGACTATGAACTTGATGGAGCTCATGCTTCTAGCTGTTGCATCTAAGAAATGATCAATAAATGCCAGGGGGAAAGGGATACTCACAAACACACTGCCCCATAGTGGATACCCTGTGTAGAACGTGAAAAAAAAGAAGTGCCTGAAGAAGTGGGTCAGGAACTCTGAGGATCCCAGGAAAATGCCCAAAGCCAGAATCACCACTCCATTCAGGATCTGCACCGCCTCCAGGAAGAAAAACAAAAGACAAAACACCATTTTAGCTTCCTTCAGAAAGAAGAGATCATGGCTTCCAGTGGTTAAAATATGAAGCCTAATTGCTAGCAATGAACATTTTTGCATATATTTGTTGATTGACTGTATGTCCTCTTCTGAGAAGTGTCTCTTCAGGTCCTTGGCCCATTTATTGATTGGGTTATTTGGTTTTTTTGGTGCTTAGCTTTTTGAGTTCTTTATATACCCTAGAGATTAGTGCTCTATCTGATGTGTGAGGGGTAAAGATTTGCTCCCAAGCTGTAGGCTCTCTATTCACCTCACAGATTTTTCCTTTTGCTGAGAAGAAATTTAGTTTGAGTCCATCCCATTTATTGATTCTTGATTTTAATTCTTGTGCCAAAGGAGTCTGATGAAGGAAGTTGGGGCCTAATCCCAATATGGAAAGCAGTATGGAGATTCCTTGGAAATCTGGGAATGGAACAACCATTTGACCCAGCTATCCCTCCCCTCAGTCTATACCCAACGGACTTAAAAACAGCATACTACAGGGACACAGCCACATCAATGTTTATAGCAGCACAATTCACAATAGCTAAACTGTGGAACCAACCTAGATGCCCTTCAGTGGATGAATGGATAAAAAAAAAATGAGGCATATATACACAATGGGATATTTACTCAGCAATAAAAGAGAATAAAATCATGGCATTTGCAGGTAAATGGATGGAATTAGAGAAGATAATGCTAAGTGAAGTTAGCAATCCCCAAAAAACAAATGCTGAATGTTTTCTCTGATATAAGGAGGCTGATTCATAGTGGGGTAGGGAGGGGGAGCATGGGAGGAATAGACGAACTCTAGATAGGGTAGAGGGGTGGGAGGGGAAGGGAGGGGGCATGGGGTTAGAAATGATGGTGGAATGTGATGATCATTATTATCCAAAGTACACGTGTGAAGACACAAATTGGTGTGAATACACTTTGTATACAACCAGAGATATGAAAAATTGTGCTCTATATATGTAATAAGAATTGTAATGCATTCCACTGTCATATAAATAAGAAAATATGAAGCCTAAATAAGCTGGGCAAGAGCATCACCTAGGAGGTTCTTGTTCCACTCTATCCCCGTCAATTCAGTGGCAAGACTTCATCGTCATCTGTCCACCTCCCCCCCCCCTTTTCTATTCATTCTCACAAGGTCTAACTCAAATAAAGGAGCAGAAGAACAACGCCGATGTGCTGGAAAGACAAGAGTCCCTATATCTTCCCAGCAAGCTTTGGGGTCACAAGGTGAAGGAGGCAGACAGATGTTAAGCAGTTTTCTTAATTCAAAATATAGACTATGAACTTGATGGAGCTCAGCCTCAGACCTGCAGGTCAGAAGGCACAAAGCAAGAATGAAGGGCCGTGGAGTCCTTCCCCCACCGTTGGACAGGCTGCTTTCTGCCATGAGAGAAGGCCTCTCCATGGCTACTTCTCAGGTCTGATGTGTCTCAGACTTTTCTTCATCGTTGACTTAGTGATGAATAACTCAGAAATTCCTCCTGCTGGCCCTACACAAAGGTTTCCACATGACGATTATTTTTATTTCCTTTTAATTTCTAAACTAAGGCTGACTTACCCCAAGGGCCTGCAGTACTCCCTTCTGGTGATCCTGTGATCCCTCCATGAGCTGGTAATCAGAATTATTCACACACTCTGGTTTGGCCTGGCCGCCCAGGGTGCTGTCCGCAGAGACCCTCAGTGGCTCTGCCTTGTTAACTTCTTCAGAGGCCATTTGGGGTTGTTTACGGCTGTCATGGAAAAGAAATCCAAAAGCTTAAAGTTTTCCCCTTTGCCACGTGCTAATAATATTTTTGGTGTGTTGGAAGAGTTCCACTCTGTCCACGCACCAAAATGATGGACCACAGAAGGAGCAAGAGGGCAGAAGACAGAGTTCACACGACGCTCTGCTCTGTCCCACCCTTCTGAGGGCCATTCCACGCCAGAAACATGTTTATCTGCAAGCTTCACCCAGTGGTCTGCTCCTCTGCCAGACTGAGTCTCACCCCGTGCCATGCTCTCACGATGCCCCTGGAGTCCTGGCCGTCTGAATGAAGCCCCCCTCTTGCTTACTCTCAGACTCCCCAGCTTCCTTCTCTGGCCCCTTAATCAGGCTGAGCTTCAGTTTCTAGAATATTTGTCTGAGTCTCACTTGCCTCTCATCACTGGGGCCCAGTGCCTAGCCCAAGTCTATCATGTGGTTGGCACGCAGCTAATACACAGTTCATAAACAAACTTTGGTCCAGTAGGACATAGCCGTGCCTCACAGATGACACTAGAAAACATGTCTGCAAACTGGATCCTCTCACACTGTGAACCCCAGGCCACTCTGGAGGGAGGAAATCTAAGCACGTTCATGCGTTTAACTTTTCTAAACCATCAGAGAGAATTTTCAGTCTTCGGATAAAGCAAGTTATGTTCTGTAACTTTTGGTCAATTTAATGTTAAAAAAAATCAGAGAAATATAATATATAATATATTGCCTAGGAATTTTCCAATTTTCCCTATCCAGCTCTGAATGTAGCAGAAGTTGGTCTAAGTGCTTTGCTCATGTTAACTAATTTAGTTCTCACCATATCCATTTGAGTGGTTACTATTGTTAAGACCCTTTCTGTCTTATAGGGGAGGAAGCTGAAGAACAGAGAGGTTAAGTAAGTTTCCCAAGGCCACTGGCCAGTGATTTCATGAGCTAGGGATCATAGCCTGGGACTCTGGCTCTAGTTATCATTATACATATCATTCCTTGGTGTTTATGCTGAAATTCACTCACCAAACCCATACAACCCTCAGGAACATGCAAACCATTTCTTGCTGTCAAGACTGGCAGCCATTTGGAATTAACATGCATAAGAGGTAGGTGTGTGTGTGTGTGTGTGTGTGTGTGTATCCGTGCCCACATTTCCCAAAGAAATAGCTGCACGTCTCCACTATTTTTTTTATCATAGCACCAGAGTAACATTCACACTATAAGTAGAAGCCATCTTTATGGATGAATATTTCCACAACTCCATAAAACAATAGCAAAACACTTTATAGACATCCCAAGGGGATCACTGGGAGGCAGCAGACCAGAAAGAAAGGGGAATTTCTACCAAGAAGGAACATACAGGTATTACCTGGGGGGCTTCAGGCTTTGGCAGACTTCTTTCCACTCAAGTCCATCTTCTGGAGAGTAGGAGACACTCAGGAATGATCCCCACGGTGTCTGTTCCAGAAAACAGCAGCCACTTCCTCCTCAGGCTTAACGGATCTTTCCCTTATGCAACACTTCACTAGAGCCAGTGAAAATGTGTCCCTGGCTGATTGGAAGGTGTGCTAATCACATGTGCATTTATGGCCTCTCTGACCATCAGCTTCCCCAAGGCTGAGCAATAAGTAGGAAACTGGTGTCGGGAGTAACTGTCTTCTGGCTTTGAGATGTTGCTTAACCCATTGTTGGAGCAGAGATGATATCTCGGTCAGTGGGAAGGGGTTGTAGAATAGAAGAGTAGAGCTGGTAGAGTTGTGTAGTAAGAAAAGATAGGAACAGGAGTAAAAGGGAGGAAGGACAGTGGTCACTGAGACACTTAGACTCTATCAGCTGCCAGCAAAGTACCAGGTACTTTACATGCATGACCCTGTTCAGTTCTCACAGGTTTTGAAAGGTGAATTACTTTGTCCAATATCGTAGATTAACAATGCTAATTTAGTGTAAATGCATTCAATGATTATTGTGTACAAGTCACTGCTTACTTGTATAAATTCCTGCTAGCCTCACTGTAGCCCATGATCTAGGTACTTTCATTAATTCAATATGATGGAAGACAAATCTATGGCATAGAAATGTTAGCCAGATGTCCTCTCATTTAATGAATTATCTTAGTCCACTTTCTGCTGCTGTAACACAATACCACTGACAGGGAAATGTACAGATAACAGACGTTTACTTGGCTCATGGTTCTAGAGGCTGGGAAGCCCAAGGCCATGGCACCGGCTTCTGGCGAGGGCCTTCATACTGCATCATCACATGGTGGCACACCAGTAAGCACCACAGGACAGACAGGATGCAGGCCACACTTCATCTTTTTATCAGGAACCCAGCCCATGAGGACTAACACAACCATAGTGATATTAACCCCTGCCCCAAATCCTGGGCAGCCTGGGTGGCGACCTCCTCAGGCCTTGCACAACTCACTCCCATGGCTTTCCTGGGCTCAGCCCATGCCTCAGCTCACCCAGGTTGCCCTCTCCTGTCTCCCAGACTGGCATAGCATATTGGTAGCTCTGTAGTCCTGGGGTCAGCCAGTATGGCTCTCTGTGGTGTCTGCACCCCTGCAACAAGTCTCTGCCTGGGCACCAAGCTGTCCGCAGCACTGTTTGAGATCTAGATGGAGAAAGCCATGTTCTCCCAGCTCTTAAATTTTGCATACCTGCAGAATGAGTACCTTGTGGATGCTGCCCAGGCTTACAGCTGGAACCTTCTGGAGCAGCAGGTTGAGCCACAGCCAGGCCCACCTGAGCAATGGCTGCGGCAGCTGAGAAGGGCTATGCGAGAATGCTGGGAGCAGCGTCCCAAGGAGGTCGGGGCAGGCAGCCTGTGGAAGGCCTCCTAGAACTTGGTCTGCGGCAGGAGAGGCAGATTTGAAGATCTCTGAAATTCCTCCCATTATCTTGATGACCCCTCTTCCTATACTTATGTAAAACACTTGCTTGGCTCTCCTAAACAGACCTATTCATTCTTCACATGGACAGCCTGTGAATTTTCCGACTTCCTTTCTGCTTCTTTTTGAATTATAAATCCCATTTCTGAGCGATTTTTTTCCCCTGTCTTACATTTCCCTACGTGCAGTTAGAGTGGCCACATGGAAGCCAGAATGGTTTTCTGCTTAGATATTTCTTTCCCCAGGTATCTTAGTTCAGTGCTCTTAAGTTCCTCATTGCAAAAAGGCCAAGGACGTGGAAATCATTCTGCCATGTGTTTTGCAGCTGTGTCACAAGAATGACCTTTACTCCAGTTTCCAACCCCTTGATCTTCCTCATCTCTGACCCCTCATCAAAAGGGCCTTTCCTATCCATAGTACTTACCAACATTCTGGTCGCAACTGCTAAGTAATCTCTAAGAAGAATCAGACTTTCCCTACAGCTGTCCTCTTCTGAGTCCTCACCAGGACTTCCCACAATGCTCCTGGATGGCAATACAAGCATTTTCAGGCCATTCTTCCACTCTTCCCAGTACCCAGTTCCAGGTACTTGGTATCACAGCAGCTCTACTTCTTAGTACCTATTTTCTGTCCCGGTCCATGTTCTTCTGCTACAACAGAATATTGCAGAAGCAATAACTTACAAACAAACAAGGTCTACTTGACTCATGGTTCTAGAGGAGAGGAAGTTTTAGACCATGGCACCAGCTTCAGGCAAAGGCCTTCAATGCTGCGTCCTAACACAATAGATAGAACTGTTAGCAAGCATAGGGGAGACAGAGGATGGGGCTGAACAGCATTTATCAAGAGCCCACTCCTGAAGCCACTAACTCATTCCTGTGACAATGACAATAATCTATTGTTGAGGACTCTGCCCTCAAGACCTAATCACCTTTTCAAGGTTCCATCTATTATTACAGTCACAATGGCAATTAAATTTCAACAGGACTTTGGAGGAGACTTTCAAAACACAGCATCAGCAAAGCCATGTTCAAAACCCAGGTTCTGTGCAGTGTAGAGCCAGAATCATGCCTGGTATCCCAGTGTGATCCTAACAACTGGGATATGCCCAGCTAATCAAACACTAGATCATATGCTCATCCTAAATAAACAAGCATCCTTAAATAGGGAGGAAGATGAGAGCCAAGGGACAAGGAGTAAGGAAGTGGGCATTGTGCAAAGATCCAAATTATAATCCTCACAGAGAGTCACAGGGCAAATCCTGGGAGGAGGGCCCAGAACAGCTGGGCCACATGAGAAGTCAGTAAGAGAAAAATGCATGCAGCAGAGTGAGGTCCCAGGCCCAGAAACCAGAGCATAAACAGGGACAGTTCACAGGTAAGAGAAAGAGGATCAGGTTCCACAACTGAAGGGCAGTTCAGGAATGGAGACTGTGCATACGGGGTGAGCAGGGGTCCAGCGTCCAGGAAAACACACCACACAGGAGCTCTGCAGCCAGGGCTGGCAACTGAGCCTGGAGCCAAGGACCTCAGCAGAAGCCAGAAGGAACTGGTAGAAAGGACGGTGGTAAAAGATGTGACAACCCCCTCTCACCCCATTTTAGCCAAAGCCATTGCAAATGGAATACTGAAGAAATGACAGGAAAGTGCCCTGAGCAAAGGAAGGAAGAAATATGAGGAAGTGAGAGAAAAAAACGAATCAAGCTTATTTTGAATTTAGAGCTCTAAACACAGCCACGAAAGGAACTTCAGACTTCAGTTATCTCATTTGTAAATTTAAGACCTTAGAAAATAGTATTACGTTTATGGCCTGGGGTGGTGGCTCAGTGGTACAGTGTTTGCCCAGCATGTGTGAGGCACTGGGTTGGATCCTCAGCACCACATTAAATAAATAAATAAGATAAAGGTATTGCGTCTATCTACAATTAAAAAAATTTTTAAAAAGTTTAAATGACAAAACGCAGGTCAAGGTCTTTGTAGCTAAGACCTCTACATAAGTTCCAAATAAACAATAAACACAAGAATGTCCTTCACTTCCTTCGAAAGGGAATGATTGTGAGACCTAGCCTTCAAGAGAATATTCGTGATAAAGATTTAATTCATTTGCTGTGTGCAACATGATGCATTAGGTATATATACGTTGTGAAATAACAATCATAAATTAGATAAGAAACTTATTACAGTTTTTGATTTTGGAATGTGATCCACGTGTTTGATTCCTAGTTTATTACTTTATAATTTTATAACTTTTCAGTCATCATTTTGATACAGTGTCCTGCCAGAAAACAAGTAAAACCTGTTCTCAACAACTTCCAAGTCCACCACACACCACTGTTGTTGACCACAGCCACCTAGCTAAGCATTAGATCCTCAGGGTGGACTCACTTTGTTATACCTCAGGAAAGCTGTGGGGGTTGGGAGGGAGTCAAATAAATAAATACATAAAGGCAAACGTTTGTGAAAAGGAAGAAAAAAGACTCAGAGGTTTTTCTTTCATTTGTATGCAATATTTCCTAATTATAGAATACAACAGAGAATAAACATACAACCAAAAACTTACATGGCTACCGACAGTCTCTCCAGGCTACCAGCCATGACCTTACAAATGCAGAGTATTTAACAATACAGACACCTATAATTTTATCATTTGCTTTGTGAGTCCCAATAAGGACTGGTAATTGTTTGTATAAGAAACTCCTTAGACAAAATAACAATGACTTTTGGAGTTCTGAAATCTTTGCATGAGAAACAAACTTTTTTTTAAGGGCTGACATTTGAAGTCCTCTCTTTGTAGCAGAAACTAACCAATGCTCTTTGATGCAATAGAGAGACAAACCTACACGGCTTGACAGAGCTGGCTGTGCGAGGCCTCACCTCTGAATTAATTCACTCCTAGATTCCAGTTGTCCCAACAATAGACAAATTGCCCTAAAATATTACTCAAGAACAGTGTAGAGATTAGAATTCCCCCAAATAAAAATTTTTTTAAAAGCATATGCTGGGCACTGTGGCGCACACCTGTAATCCCAGTGGCTCAGGAAGCTAAGGCAGGAGGATTGGCTTTAACTCAGAAACTTAGTGAAACCCTAAGCAAGCTGGTGAGACCCTGTCACTAAATAAAAATTTTAAAGGGGCTAGGGATGTAGCTGAGGAGTTGAGCAATCCTGGGTTCGATCCCTGGTACCAAAAAAAAGCATACCAGTTTATGCGGGCAAATTGGGAGAGGTGAAGAACAAAGGGCTTGCTCAAATATTCTTTTATTTCTTCCTTTTAGTTATACATGACAGTAAAGTGTATTTTGACACATCATACATACATGGAGTATAACTTCCCATTCTTGTGGATGTATATGATGTGGAGTTTCACTGATCTTGGATTCATATATGAACACAGAAGTTATGTCTGATTCATCTACTTTCCCATTCTCGTTCCTCTTTTTTCCACCCATTCCCCTGTCCAATCCAGTGAATCTTCACTCCTCCCCACTACCTACTGTGAGTCAACATCTGCATACTAGAGAGAATATTCAGCCTTGGGTTTTTGAAATTGGCTTATTTCACTTAACATAATAGTCCTCACTGCCATTCATTTACCGGCAAATGCCATAATTTCATTCTTCTTTA